CCCCCCCCCCTTTTTTTCCCTTTACCTAAGTTAAGTAGACCTTGCCATCAGTTTCAAGCCATTATATAATTTGGAGTGATTTTTCCATGACTGTCACTTTGTAAAAAATGTATATCCACTTTTTTATTAGTATATTCGCTAATCTAAACTCCACTTCTACAGATTCTGTTGGGAGCTTGTTACAGACTTATTTTCTAAAGCTGATGTTTTATTTGCTCTTAAGCTTGCAGTTAGCCTTCATATTTATAATTCAGGATTCTACCAACCTAAGAAATTTTTAACGTTTATCAACATGGAGAAAGACTAGATGAATGATCTTTATTAACATTTTTCTTTTTTGTTTCTAGTGTGTCACAACTCACAGATATGAATGAACAAGAGGAGGTATTACTGGAACAGTTTCTGACTTTGCCTCAATTAAAGCAAATTATTACTGATAAAGATGACTTAGTAAAAAGTATTGAGGAATTAGCAAGTATGTTTTCCTTTATGTAGTTCATATTTCCTGAGAAAAATGTGGTTTGTACCTGGAAATAAACCAGAGATTTATCTTACAGGAAAAAATCTCCTTTTGGAGCCTGGCTTGGAAGCCAAACGACAAATTGTTTTAGATAAGGTAAGTGAGCATTTTGAAGAAATGTTTACAATTTAAAAATCTAAATAAACAGCAATTTTATTTTTTCTTTTAGTATGAATTACTTACACAAATGAAATCTACCTTCGAAAAGAAGATGCAAAGACAGCATGAACTTAGTGAGGTACAGCTGACCATTTCTTTCCCTTTTCTATGTGAACTGTGAATCCTAAGGTGCATGGACCACGTTCCTACTTCCACTTTTGTCAGAAACAGCATGTTATTCATCTGACTTTATAAGGCTGAAACTTTTTTTTTTTCAGTCTTTTTGACACAGGGTCTCCCAGTAGCCCCAGCTGGCCTAGAACTCACTGTGTAGACCAGGCTGGCCTCGAACACCTGCCTTTGCCTCCCGAGTGCTGGGATTAAAGGCGTGCGCCACCACATCCAGCAAGGCTGAAACTTTTAAATGTAGATGAGTATCTCCCAGCTGTGACATACAATATATTATGTTCATATAAGAGTATATCTGGTTCCAAAACCCACAAAAATATGAAAAGCCCCAACAAATACTTTCTGGATAAATTATGAAAATAGTGTAAACCTTATGATCAAATCTAATAACCAAGGGGCTAGAGAGATGGCTCAGTGGTTAAGAGCACTGACTACTCTTGCACAGGACCTGGGCTCAGTTCCCACCACCCACATAATAACAACCGTCTGTAACTCTTGTTCGAGGGGCTCTGACAGCTCTTCTGGCCTCCACAGGCAGTGCATGACATAGATGCCCAAGAGCTGGGCATGGTGGTGCACACCTGTAGTCCCACCACTCAGGAGACAGAAGGAGGTAGATTTCTGTTTGCAGTTAGCTTAGTCTACATAGCAAGTTCCAGACCATCTGAGCTATTGAGTGAGACCCTATTTCAAAAAACCAAACCTAAAAAGTAGTTTTAGTTTCTACACTTAGGTCTTTGATCCAATTTTGATTTCATTTCTGTGACGTAAAGTGTCCAACTTCATCTTTTGCATATGCATATCCAATATTTTTGTTGAAAAGACTTTTTTTTTCTGTTGTATGGATTTGGTACTTTCATTGGAAATTATTTGATCATTGTGCTCCTTAGTTTTTGTCAGCTTGACACAAACTAGAATCACCTGGGAAGGAGGAACATCATTTGAGGGATTTCCTCCATCAGATTGGCAGGTGGTCATGTCTGTAGGGCATTTTCTTGATTGCTAATTGACATAGGAGGGCCCTTGACCCATGCTATCCCTGGGCTTTATAAAAAAAACAAGCCAGGGGAAGCAAGCAGTGATTCTCCATGATCTCTGCTTCAGTTCCAACCTTCAAATTCCTGCCTTGAGTTTCTTCTCTAGATTCCTTTGATGATGGACTCTAACCCATAAGATATAATAAACCCTTTCCTCCCCAGTTGCTTTTGGTCATGGTATTTATCGCAGCAACAGAAAGCAGATTATGTGAGGATTGATTACATGGCTCTCTCAACTGTTCCATTTGTCTATGTGATCATACACTCTAACAACGAAAACTGCATGAAACTTAGGACTATTTCAAATTATTTGAGAGGGTAAAGGGCACAACATCTGAACCGCCACTGCGTCCACCACCACGCTGCACTCACGCCAGATATCAGCTCACAAAGGGGATGGGAATTCTTCCAGAAAAAAAACAGACACAGAAAGCAAGACTTATCAGTACTGTCCTCTAATGTGGAAGGTGCAGGCAGTATTCTTCAAGATTACTCATTAAAGCTTAATTTCTTGCTATTTGTATGTAATTAACTTTATAATTTTTTTTTTTTTTTTTTTTTGTGTGTGTGTGTATGCATGCCATGCATTTGGTGATCAGAGGAAAACTTCCATGAGTAAGTTGTTTCACTGTGAGTTCTGGGGATTGAACTCAGGTCAGCATACTAGTTTTCATGGCAAGCACTTTTACCCACTGAGCCATCTTGCTGGCCCTGGAATTAATTTTTTTTCCCAAAGTTTTACAAGTTAAAAAAAGAGATACACCAGATCCAAATCAAGAACAGCACAGCTAATGCTTCAGGTGTACCGGGCTAAGCATTGTTTGGTGGCAACCAAGATAGGGAGACACCCACAACAGTCTATCTCTTCAATGACTGTGACCAAAAGTTCTGAATTAGAGGAAAAAAAAAAAAAAACCTCCTTTACTTCCTGGCTTTGACCCAAGAATGGCCTCATTCCTGTGCCCCAGTTCAGACAGCACTGTGGACAGGAACAGAAACTGCTGAGATGACCTCATCCTGCCAAGGCCTAAAAACACGCAAGCCAGGACTGGAGAGATGGCTCAGCAGTTAAGAGTGCTGGCTGCTCTTGCAGAGAACCCAGGTTCAGTTCCCAGTGGTATCAGTCTTTCATACTTTTCAGTGTACATGTCATCTTCCTCTTTAGTTATATTAAATCCTATCACTTTTGTCATGCTTGCTTCATTGGAAGTGAGTTACTAAGTCTAGCCAACACACTCACAGGGTGTTAGCCAAGAGCAGGAACACACAGAGGTAGACAGTGTTGGGTCATCTTAGTATGTGCCTCCCTCCCATAGTGATTTGATTATAGAACATTCAGGACAGCACAGTGATTTGTCAAGTTGTTTAATAGTTAACAGCCAGTGATTTGATTGCTCTTGTGTGTGGTGTTTATCCAGATATCCAAATGTTGAAGACCTGTGCGACTACTACCTCATTTGTTCTCCTTCAAGGTTTTTCTGAGTATTATTGACTAATGTAATGTCTGATTTTGCTGTTCTTGTTTTCAGAGCTGTAGTGCAAGTGCCCTACAGGCAAGATTGAAAGTAGCTGCACATGAAGCTGAGGAAGAATCTGATAATATTGCTGAAGATTTCTTGGAGGGAAAAACTGAAATAGATGATTTTCTCAGTAGCTTCATGGAAAAGAGAACAGTATGTAATACTCTTCAGTTGAGGATGAGTGACAACATAATGTCAAATTACTTAAGTATATTCATGAATACAAAATCATTAGCAGATAACCAAGCTGGAGTTTTGAGTACTGTGAGAGGAATCTGAAGAGCCTCTTTTGGGAAGGATAGCAACACTCTACTGTCGCTTTAAACCTGCTTGTTCTGAGTACACAGGCAGGTAAATCAAGTAATAGTTGTGGTTCAGAAATGATAGTGTGTAGCATCCTGTGGGAGCTGGTAGATCAGCTTAGCTTGGTCTTAATAGCTGTAACAGACTCTTGAATAGCAACCTGATTTACAGGTTTAAATAAAGAATAGAACATAGAGATTAAAACAGTAATTTAAATACTATTGAGAAAATTCTGGAACAGCATTATTCTGCTGATGTTTCTATTGTAGTCAAAGAAAAACCAAAATGTTTCACAATTTCAAACCATTTAATATAGAGTCCAAAATATTTACCTGATTTCTCTGAGCAATCATACTTTTTAAGAATTAGTAAGCTTTAGCCAGGCATGGTGGTGCATGCCTTTAGTCCCAGCACACGGAGGCAGAGGCAGGTGGATCTCTGTGAGTTCAAGGTCAGCCTGGTCTACATAGTAAGTTCCAGGCCAACTAGGGGTACAGGGAGACCCTATCTCAAAATGCCAAAAAAAGAATTAGTAAGCTTTATAAAGTGTGTGTGTGTCTGTAAACACCCCTCACCCCCATTAAGGCAGACAGGTAAGATTTTATGAGTTCCATTTTTCATGAGAGAAAAAATTAAAGTTGAGAGATTAACTTGCCTATGTTTATAATATTCATAAGGAATTGATTCTAGATCCATTCTATTCTATATAACCATACCTTGAAGTTTTTGTTAATATTCCATGATTAACAAGTACAGTATTTATTTCTATTTTTTAAAAAATATTTATTATTTTTATTTTATGTGTATGAGTGTTATGCCTTCATATAGGTAAGCGCACCCATGTTGTGCAATGCCCACAGAGGACAGAAGAGCCTGTTGGATCCCCTGCAACTGGAGTTACGGACAGGTGTTAGCTGCCATGTGGGTGCTGGGATTCGAACACGGGTCTTCTGCAAGAAGAGTCAGTGTTCTTAACCTCTGAGCCATCTCTCCAGCCCCCTATTTCTATATTTTTAAAGCACAGGTATTTAAAATTAAATAATCAATGAATAAATGATCAGTTATTTAAAAAAAAAAACATTGTACAAAGTTGAATATTTTTTTGAATTCCTAATTTCTGAGGAATTATTAGCTACCTTAAACATTCAAAGGTTTTTGAAGGATTCTTACTTGGAATTCTATTATAATGTAGGAAGTAGTTGGAGAAGTGACTAGTATTTTAAGTAATTAATTTATCTTCTAGATTTGCCACTGTAGAAGGGCGAAAGAAGAGAAACTTCAGCAGGTGATAGCAATGCACAGCCAATTCCATGCTCCTCTATAGGTAAGTTGCATTTCTTGTTTGAATCTCAAAGCTATTGCACAAGTGTTCTTTAACCTAATTGTTCTTAACAGTGCCTTTCATACAACTTTAAGCTTAATTCTAGCCTTATGGCTATTGTATGTCACAGAGTACTTATATTATCAACAAACTACTGTATAAATAAGCATATAACCAGTAGAAACTTTTTAGATCTTTGCTCAGCATGACAGTATTCTAAATTAAATTTTTGTCAACAACAAATAGGTCCTTGTGGAGAGCTATTTACTTTTTCTCAGTTGATGTGCGGAGTATACCATATCTTGTGGTTGACATATTGTTCAACAGCCTCATCACTTCCTTTATAATGAACTTCTAGTCTACCTCTTCTTTTTTGAGACAGGCCCTCACCATGTACATGGCTGGCCTCTAACTCACAAAAGAGATCTGCCTGCTTCTGCCTCCCAAGTGCTGCGACTAATGGTGTCCGCTACCACACCCAGCTCAAATCGGTTTCTTTTCTATCTACCACCATCATTACTCTACCGGTTTGCATAGCTGCCCTGATGTTGCTTCTCCTTCATAAAATGAACTGACAGAATGATCTTGCCAGGCTACTTTTGTCATAAAATTTCTGTACCATAGAACTGGTAATGAGCCCCCAGTGATGATGGCATTGGTGTCACATTCCTCTCTGGTTTTAGGATTTATACTCATACAGTTCCAAGTTTCCATTTTCCCATTACATTGTCTTGTGTTCTCCTGTTTTGTTTCCATTCATGCTTACTGATCTCAAACTCCTTTCCTCCCCTCCACTTGTTTGTTGTTGTTTTTCAGGAATGTTTTGATTATAAACCAATTATCATCCCAACAAGCTCAAACAAAAACCATTAGGGAAATACACTTATCATAGAACTAAAATGAAGGAAATGCAGCTCAGGTACCTGCGGTTGGAGACACTAGGAGCCCCTTTCTCAGGCTACCTGGTCCTCATTTTTGCATGTTTTTTTGTTTTGTGTTGTTTTGGAATTTCTAGGATCAAACCCATTACTTTGAGTATGTCAGTCAGGCAGGTACCCTAGCACTGATTTGCCATCAGCTCTTTTTCATAGTCATCCTTCAGCCATTATTGCTCATAGCTTGACTGTTCATCTGAACATTCAAGCAGCCACTGTAGACTAACAAGAGTCTGGAGTTGTAGTACAAGTCCCTGGGAGAGATGGGTAAACCACCCATCCTGGCCTAATCATCTTGGCCTAGAAATGAGGACCATGTGTGCTATGGCACCTTCTTTACCGTAGGTCCCCTGCCAAGCCAGCTGGTCCGAAGGAGTAGACTTTAAGGAGTTGACTTTAAGAAACATTGAGGGATTATTTGAAAGGGGGAGTAGGCTCCAAAGAAGGAGGCAATAGGCATTTTTGTCTCCAGTTCAAATAAATCATTCAAATCTTTTTTTTTTTTTTTCTTTTCAGATTTTCCTGAAAACACGAACTGCCAACAAAGAAATGGGACACAAAACTAAGCACATCATTTTATATTTATGACTTGGGAATTGGCATTTCATGACAACAGCTGAATTAAGATATATGATACAGTTGTATACAGAACTGATTTTGTATAGATTAGAATGATTGCTATATTTGCTTTGAGAAACTTTTCTGCACTATTTGCACTAAAAAGTTTATTTATTGTTGATAAACCCTATATTTAAATTCCACTGCTATTCTCTTGATTAAATACCTATGCATGTAATTTTAGCTACCTTTTAATATTTTATAAAATTACTGATTTATATTTGTAGTTTTAATTTGAAGCTGCCTCATTTCTTTATCAAGAGTGGTTTTGAAAGTCCTTCCTGCCAGCCTTTTTAAAAACCTATTTTCAGCTGTGGAACAAACATCCCCTCGCCCATTTTGCTCCTTCTTTCTAGATGTTAAAATTTTCAAAGGCAATTTGTTTTCAGATACTCAGTATCAGGAAACACCAAACCTGCCACTGTGCCATCTCAAGAAAGCAACTTTTAATACTTACAATAAGTCAAAAGAATAAAGAGGATGCTTTTTGACAGTTTTCTTTTTAAACTAAGGATGCATTTAAGGAGCAATACAGGTTACTATTTTTGGTTTTTGTTTTTCTGTTCTGGTTTAGGGTCTCACTCTATAATCTAGGCTGGCCCCAACAACTGTAATCCTTCTTTCTGAGTGTTGGAATTATAGGCAGGTGCCACCTAACTCATCTGGTAAAGAAATACTTTATTTACTTTAAAAACTGTCTTTCACTTATACCAGTTCAATACAGACTTCCATGCCAACTTTTAAAAAATAAGTATCTGATGGGGTTTTTGTTAAGTAAGGATACTCTTTTTATATTCCAAATGTTAAGAAAGTCTTTTTGGTAAGAAATAGTAAATCTAGACACAAAAACTTAATGAAATTTTTTGACATTTAGTGTGACTTATCTTTTCCTAAGGTTAGCTTTTCCTAAGAAAAAGCTATGTAGCAATACGCAATTTCAATCTTAATTTTTAATGAATTTTATTTTCTTTAATTTGTACTTAAGTTCACAATTTGTTTCTGTACAGTGTTACAGAATGAACCCATTAAAGTGCATAAAGGAGAAAATGTATAACTACATATCTGAGGTTTGGTAAAGTAGTATCTCAATCACTAAATGCTCATCTATTCAGACTTCATCTCACTGTCATGCCAATGCTGGCAAACATTACAGTCTTGTCTTCATTTGTCTTTTCATACTGTATGTTTTTTGGTAATAGAGTTTTAGGAAAAAAAAAAAGTATTTTCTTAGAATTGAATAGTAATTTCATCTGTTTTTAGAAGACACATACAAGGACTATAAAGATAGTGGTCGCAGTACACCTTTATTAACTGCCTGTCTTCCTGGCACTCTGCTAAGGGCATGCCATTTAACCTACAAAATGAGCAGATGAAGGTAAAATTGATATTCCTGATGTTGTTACTCCCAATGGGTAGGAGAGATATCCCAGGTAATGTTTCAAATTTGTGACTGAGGTGGGGGTGTTCAGAGACCGGTCCTTACTGCACTGGTGTCAGAGGTAAGATTCTCAGTCACTGCAGTCAGTGAAGGATTGAAGAGTCCCACCCAGTCTTTTACAAACAATCTAGTAAGAACCATGTACATCTCAGAACAAGAGACCAGCAGACTGTAGACCTTCTAGAAGAACACTGACTCATTTGATCTACTTTATTAAACATCTACTAAATAGAAAGGCATTGTAGAAATACACAGAATTAACCTGAATATGGTCCTAATGTTTAAGTGCTTCTCTGCCTTCTACTCGACACCCCCCCGCGTATGTTCCCTATATAACCACAAGAGCAATCCAATTTTTTTCTTTAAACCTGGATTATCCCAATTTCATTTTATATCATATAAAACAGTACTAAAAAGTTTCTCCTTCAAAAGTAATTAGAGAACCTCTTTCTAACCCAATCATTAAGTAGAGACATTTGATCACAATTACCTGCATTTAACAAGCTGATAAATTAGTTAAGATATAGAGGTTTGTCATTTAGAGAGAAAGAATCTGCATTTGAATATGCCATATAAATTTGGGTTCTGTGTAAGGAAAATTACATAGCCCATATTTCCTCTTTGTAAAATGGGCTGTAGACATGGATACCAAAGAAGACATTCTGATTTTACTATAGTCTAATAGAAGGCTAGATGGAAATCAAGATCACAGAGGAGAGCTTATGAATTACTAGATTACCCAGGGTAGGGCTTTTTCATGGATATTTAAAGTGAATACCTAAAAATAGAAGATACTTTTATATCAGTGAGCTGTATGGTAAAGATACCTATTTCAAAGTTGGGAGGAATTTTCAGAATAAACACTAGGGAATTTTTCAGAAATTGTTTGATAAATAATTTTGACTATAATCTACTTAAATTAAAGGGCAGCTAAAATTCAGTTTACAGAGAAAAAAGTATGAGTTCAGGGTTTTTTGAGGCAGGGCTTGAAGCCCAGGCTGTCCTATAACTTGCTCTGTGGCCAAGGGTGACCTTGCGCTTCTTGCACTTCATGCGTGCTAAGGCAGGCACTCCACCACCTGAGCTACATTACCCTGTCCCCTAAACATGTGCTGTTAAAGATTAAAAGTTTGGTCTGGGGAGGTGTGGCTCAGTGGCTAAAGCACTTCCTGTGCAAGTATGAGGACCTGAGTTAAAAGCTTTGTACACATTAACACACCTATAATCCCAGAACTCCTATAGCACACACCCCCGCAAAAAAAAGGTTGACTAAGAATTCCTGGAAGCTTGTGGACCAGTTAGCATGGCAGGCCAAGTGCAGCAGCACACATCAGAGACCCTGCTATAAATAAGGTGGAAAGCAAGAACTGACACCTGGAGTTTCCCCCTTTTTTCTTTTTTTTTTTTTTTTTTTTTTTTGGTCTTTTTGAGACAGGGTCTCCCTGTAGCCCCAGCTGTCCTGGAACTCAGTATGGAGACCAGGCTGGGATTAAAGGCATGCGCCACCACACCTGGCTACCTTTGATTATTTTAAAATGTCAGTATTGATCTGTTCACACATGGTCAAAATTCTTTTCATATTAAATTTACTTTATCCACAAATAGTAAATCACTTGAGCTGTAACTCTTAACTAGTTGGAAAGTGGTATGTCTTGAATCAATTATATATTGAAGTAGTCCCCAAAACACTACCCTAAGTAATAAAAGTACTTAAAAACTGAAGTTTGGTTTAAAATGAACACGTAATATTAGAAATTTTTAGTCTTACTGAATTGGTCATGCTGTGTCAAGGCTCTGCGAAAACATATGATAAAACTTGTATGGAGATTTCAGTGTTAGAGGCTGATTTCTAAAGCAGACTCTGAACAAATGCTTATGTTATAATGCCTTGCAAAAAGGTTGAGGGAAATAAAAGTTGTATGGCTTTAATGTGGAAGATGTCACATTAAAAAGTTAAATTTTAAAATATACGTGTACTATTTATCTTTTCAAATAATATGTAGTCCAGTTTGGCATAGATTCTGTCCTCTTTTTTTTCGGTCTTTTTGAGATAGGGTTTCCCTGTAGTTCCAGCTGGCCTGGAACTCGTTACACTATTATAGACCAGGCTGGCCTTGAACTCACAGAGATCCATCCACCTACCTCTGCCTCCTGAGTGCTGAGATTAAAGGCAAGTACCACCACACATGCCCAGTGTCCATCATATTCTTTTTTTACATAAGTACCATTTTTGTAGATTTACACTATCAACTGTAAAATATTAAAGTCACATTTTCATTATTAGGCAACAAAGCCTCTCAAGCATGGGAACTACAAAAATGGCATAAAGGGAGTTACAGGCTATAAAAATGCAGAAGCCACTACCAGTATGTTGTTCCTGTGTGTTGTTAGCTATTGCATAACTGTATTACAGAAACAAGTATATATCCTTTGTACTTAATTTGGGAACTTACCAGAAGAAAATGCTCAAATTTAATTTTCTGAAAGAATTACACTTGCTTTATTTTTTTATATTAATATTTTTATATTATAGGTCTTTAGTACATTAAAGACATTCTGTTTTTAAATGATGAACACTTATACCATATTTCACTTTTTATATATGGAGAGAAAGATGAGAGAGTGACACTTCAAATCTTTCATACTATAGGTTTTAACAATACCAGACTCTTGTCTTCTCATTACCTTGTTCCCATTTCAACAAAATTGAATACATTCTGATAAAAATTTTCAAATATTTAAAATATTGACATAAATTATAAAAACTAAGTTTAGATGAATAAATTACTAAAATGTGCTAATATTTCAAAACCATACAATGAGAATATCATTTCTATCAAACAGGGCAGCTTTTCTCTACTAAGATTCTCCAGCTCCAAAGTTAGGGCACCTAGTCAAGTCCTCTTTCTTTAGCCTAAGAGGGGAATGATACTGCTTCTAGTGTTCATCTTAGCAGAAAGTGTAGAAATATCATTTGCCAATCCATGGTCATGATGTGATGCTAATGTTAATGAAAATATATTGATATGCTAATATAATTTGTGGGTTGATAAACAGGACATACAAATTCTATACCTCTTCAGTGGAGTTTTACCTTGCTTTTTTATTACCCCACTGATGTGACAGTGTTGTCATTTGGAATCAGATTAGTGAGTGGTTCAAAGTCTTAGTGTAGTCTCTGAAATAGTAACAAAACATTGCCAAGAAAGTTAAGATCTGGATTCATATGTAAGACCCAGAGTCCATATTCCTTGTACTTTATTAAATCCAAGTTAGATCAAATCCATGTTAGTGAAAGGCTTACAAACTTTAGCACTGTTAGGGGATGAAGAAAGCAGAAGATATCTGGGGGTGGGAGGGCATAATTCAAAATATTATCTAAGAAAAAAGTTAAAATAATTATTCCACCTGAAAGGTAAGCTTTGTAATCTCAAAGTTCGTTAGGAATATATTAATTAACCAAAAAGGGTACTTTCTATCTTTACTTCTAGAAATATTGGTAAAAAGGTGAGAAAGAAATGTGTTTTAGAAAACGAACCACATCTGGAAGTAAAATAAATTCTAGGAGGGAAATGGAGAACAGATGCTGTTTTATAAGTAGTACATGCTGTGCCGAATTCTGTATGGACCTCAGGCGATGAGAGCAGATTCTTTGTAGTGAACACAATTTCCACACTCTAAAATGAGCTTCAAAGATGGCCAACATTCTTCCTTATATTTGATGAAAGAACTGGCTACTTCTGTTCAAGAAACTAAGAAGTGAAAGTTTTTTTTTCCATTTTCATAGATGCATTTTGTAATTCTTGCTGGCACCTGCCATTTCTTGAATTGTTTCTTAATATAAATTGCACTGTCCCCTTAATTTTGGAAGTATTTGTGTCCTTCACCTTGGAACTCCAAAAGGAAACTTCAGGCAGTGAGAAACACGGCTTCGTCAGAGTCCCGGTCCTTGCCGCTGTCTTCACTTGGTGCATGCTCACCACCACTTGGAGACCGGCAGCTCAAATCCTCCACTCCAGACTCTTGATCACTGTTTACTGACAGATCAGGATCTGAACTTTTCAAATTGTCTTGGGTTAGAATCAGAGCTGAATCTTCATCACCCTGGGAAGGGCTCCTGGATGGGAATGACTTAATGTTCCCGCTGTAATCCTGGGGAGTGTTGGCTGTGCTGTTGTCTGAGGTAGAAAACGTGGAATGTTTGCTGGGTTCACTTTGCTTACTCTTCAATTTGGTACCATTTAAGTGGACTTTCTGAATTTTTTCCAGCCTCTGAAAAAGAAATAACAACTTGGGGAAAAGTCCTAAAGAATTTACCCTTTAAAAAAAAAAAATGTATTTGGGTGCCTTATCCCAACCTCCCAGCTGAGATAATGTTTAAGGATGTGGGTCTTAGTTAGGTGTAGGTTGAAAACTAGAAACGAACTTGAACAAAATTAACTGAGGGGCTTGTTTTCTTCAACTTTAACCTAAGGGTGATTGATAGTAACTGCCAAGACAGGTTCTATATAAATATGAACAATGTAAAATGCTTAAAGTACTTGGAAATAGTAGTCTTTCTCCTAATTCTACCTATTTTTGTCCTATTGAGTCTAAATGTTTTTTAAAGGGTAAGAATGAGGTTTTACAGTATGTTAAAGTAGACAATTTATTGGTTTTTAGTATATTTACAAAGTTGTGCAACCATATATATTAATTTTAAATAATTTTTGTGACCACTGTGAAATCCATACCTATTACTAGTCATTCCCGATTTGCGCTCCCCATAATCCCTGGATTTTCTCAGTTTGGACATTTTGGAGCAAAGGACCATCAGCATGTGCTCTTTGCATACTCTCAAGGATCACCCATGTTTATGTATCAGTACTTCATTGTTTTTCATCATTTAGTTATACTCTTTAATGTATGGCTATGCCACTATTTTGTTCCTCCATCAGAGCATAGACATTTGGGCTATTCAAAATATGTTTTACCTGATTATATCCTTTAATATAAGCAGAGGGGTATTCATTCAAAAGCAAACATGCAAATTCTTAGTGTAGAAGTAAATTATCTCACTTTTAGCTTCACTAATTTTAAATTTCTAAGTATTTATGAATTATCAAAAGAATTCTATAATAAATAGGATCCTAAGATATTCATAGGTTAGATGCCTTTATGAATTAAACTGGCCCAACAATGACAAGAGAACTTTGCCAAAAGGTCTAAGATGGCCCCAAAACTCTAAAAACAAACCGTGGCTCATTTTAGCTCTCTGAATTTATTTTTAGTAAAACTTAGTAGTCCTAGATGTAATTTACAGTCATCTGTGGTACTCTAAAAATTTGGAATTTCTAGCATGGTATCCAGGCATCAAGATTCCTTGTAAGGAGTAATCTTGATGCAGTTAAAAATCTTCTCCAATGATGTAAAACAGTGGTGCAGAGTAGAGCTCTTCATAGATCTGAGGATACTCTCTGACTGGCTCATTTGTACATGGCAATACCATTTACACTAGTTCTCAAAAGTTCTTATACCCAACACTGGGAACCTGGTAACAGAGTCACTCCATGTCCTAGTTTGTTTCTTCACTGCTGTGACAAAATACTCTGACCACTACACCAACTTGGGGAGGAAAGGGTTTATTCAGCTTACATCTCCCACGTCACAGTTCATCAGGGAGCCCAAGGTAGGAACTCAGGGCAGAAACCTAGAGGCAGGAGCTGGAGCACAGGCCATGGAGGAACTCTGCTTACTGGCTTGTTCCCCTGGCCCCTGCTCAGCCTGCTTTCTTATGCAACACAGGCCCACCTGCCCAGGGGTGGCACCACCTTCCACATCACTTAGCAATCAAGAACCTGCCCCACAGACATGGCCACAGGCCAGTCCTATGGAGGCAATTCCCCAGTTGAGGCTCCCTCAACCCAGGTGTGTCAAGTTGACACTGAAGCTATCCCAGCACACTCCAATACCCACTGTAGTTTGCAACTCTAGACTTCAGACCTATTTGTGTTTTGAAAGGTTATATCTTCTGGAGTATTACATGAAAAACAGTCATAGAGGTAGCTGGTAAGGCAGACTATTGTTGGGAACCGTACACTATAAGGCTCCTTCCCCCAGGCCATAATTTTCAGTGGGGATCTGCAGGTGAGTTCTGGTCACCAGAGTACACAGCAAACTCAACTTGTAAGATTTTGTGAATCCTTCCTTGCCACCATCACCCACACAAGGTAAGTGAAAGTTCTCTTCCAGTCACTTCACATTCAGCCTTCACCCATGCTTTTTTCGTACACTATGTGAGTTCTTTGTAAGAAAGACTCATTGTATTTAAAATACTGTATCTCAGTTCAGAATACAGGTTCCAAACAATAGGAATTTACTGCCAGTTCTGGATTTTTAAGACTGAAGCACAATAAACTATGAATCCAAGTAAGTTTGCTGTTGAAGTAGAGTGTTAGTTACCCAGTTGGAAAAGCATTTACATCTGACATAACCTCCCTGGCCAAGCATGGAAGTTGTACATGTACAAAATGCATTATGTACAGCCACTCTCAACTAACATATTAATATCTATACATAATTCCTTAGAGTGGGCTTTTAGGACAGTTGAATGTATCTAATTTTACTTACTTCCTGCTTTTTCTAGAAAATTTAATATCAAATAACAGTAACAAAAAAATTTTATTGATTAGTAGCCAAGTACTTCAGCAAACTGTGGGCTGGGCCAGAAACCAAGCCAGATGGCAGAAGGGGTCTGGATGTGCACCCTGGGTGTTCACCTGGATAAGCTATTTTAGATCATCACTGATTAGAAAGTGTCTACTGCTACATTTTCTTTGCAAGGTCTTGAGAGGCTTCCCCCAAGTGTTCAAGAAATATGCACAGAAACAAAGTAAATATCTTACTTCTTCCAGGGCCTCCAGCTCTTCCTCAAGCTGCTGGGATTCCTCCTTCACGGCCATGAGGTAATCAGTAACAGATTGTCGAGGCTGCATTCCCTTTTCAAAGCGGTTATACATCCCACTCCAAAACCTGGGAAGAAAGGATACCATAATATCCCAAATATGTATTCTCAAGTCTTATGTCTTCAATAGCTAGTCCCACAGCCTTAATGACCAGCAACAAATAGGCTCAAAACAACTACTTAAAGGTAATAATTCACGTTGATATTTTGTTTTTGTAGGGTAGGTATGTTCTCTTGAGAAAAGTAAGTTCATAAAGTACTGAATTAGAAGACACGTTAACCATTTTTCTCCTTTTTAAAAGAAAATGGCTTAGTCTTGAACTTTGAAAATTCATGATTATGTGTTTAGAATTCCTGCTGCAAGAGGAGGCTTTTAAACTTGAAGTATTTAGCTTTCATTTTATTACAACAACCAGAAACTTCTATTTTCATTTTCAATATATCTGATTATCCTAGACAGTAAAGGATCCTGGAATGCAAAAGGAATAAATGATGTCATCCGTGGAGTATCCGCAGGCCTACTCCTACTATTCAGAATAATAAAAGCATTCTGAGGGCAGGGACTCCGTGCCCTTTAGCCCCAGTGCCCAATGCTGGAGCCTCAATAAGACATTTTCACTATTAGTAACTGGTTCTTAGTAAGTAGCAATACAAGTAATTGCCATGTGTCTCAAAAGCTCTTCAAACTGCCATTTTACACAAGCCATGCAGGCATTATTTTATAGGATGAGTATTCTGCTATAAAACAGGATGTAATACTGAAAAAACTAGGAATAAAGACATCTTTAGGAAGAGAACCCATGGAGGAAATAAAGCAACTGTGTTGGGAGAAGGGAGAGAGAATACAGTTCTCAGTTTATCCTGTGTGGATTTATTTTTCTGCCCTGAATCATTTTACCATGATGCAAAACGGAGAAGAACCCAAAGGACACTATGCAGCACACACATCTGATACTTCCCTAGTAGAACCTGAAAAGGCATCCTTGCTCTCCCCACCCCGATACAGACAGTCTTAACATCAGGGACATCCACAAGGTGAATATTTCCACCAGGACTTTTCAGCAAAGTGTGGGCTATATTGATTGCTATCAAAACTTGTGTCCAATTCTACTTACAAGGCACCTGATTTTCTCCAACTTAAAAAAATTATAATTGGAACTTAGATTTTTTTTAAATGTTATTATAAAACATCAACGTTTAAAGGGAATTCCACATGTAGAGCAATGGAGAGAGAAGCAGTACTGCCAAAAATGCCAGAACCAGCTATTTAGGCATTTTCCTCTGGTGTGTGTTATGTCCTGTGATGCTTTGAAGCTCAGTATTTCACATACTTTGGCTTCAACATTAAACTGACAGTTTTAATCACAGATGGCAAATTCCTAAAGACAGACTTACTTATACATGAAGTTGCATGGAGCTTTGGGCAGATGAAGGCTCCCCTGGGTCTGACTGTGGTCAGCTCTAAACAGAGGATTGAGGTAGTCAGCCCGATTCTTCCACAGGTGTGACCATAAAGAGTAGGTTCTCTCTTGAATTCTGTTGTTTAAAAAAAAAAAAAAAAAAAAAAAAAAAAAAAAGGTCAGAAAATGACTAATCTTGGTTCTTCTGAACAGCAGATACTTGACAGTAAAGCTGTAAAGGAATATTTGACATTAAAGCTGTTTCCTGATTATCAAATGTTGTTCTATAGCAATGAAATTACCACCTGCCAGTGGCTTCTTGGTACAGTAGAAAAGCTTCATTGTAATAGTGATGCACCTGTCTCTATCCCCAGTGCTGGGGTTACAAGCACATCGCTATACCCAGTGTTTCTATTTTTTTTTTTTTTTTAATGTGAATTCTGGGGATTGAGCTCAGGTCCTCATTCTTGCACTGGAAGCTTTCTGCCAACTGAGACCTCTCCCCAGCCTGTAGTCTGCTTTTAAATGGTCTCAATTTATCAGAAATTTTACTTGAAGATCCACAAAGAGAATAAGTCAACATACACCAGAGAAAAATGATATTCTAAAAATTCTCAAAAATCTTCCTTTGGAGATCCTAGCAGACATCCTGAGAGGGTGGGCTCCAACCTCCATTTGTAGAGTGGCTGTGATCTCAGCACACCACTACAGAGTGCCAAATTCTGGCCTCCTTGTGGACCGGCTGAGAATGCAGGGGAATGCCTTGAGAGCTCTCAGATCCTGCCTCCACATGGTGGGAATGTCCCAAATTTTCTGAGTTCCTGCTAATAGGGTTCCAAACCTTAGAAGGAATCCTGAGTGTACCTGACTGAAACCTGACTTGGGCTTCTGTGGGTACTACTGAATAGCCGATCTGAAACCATTAGTTCCCTCCAAAATAAAACCTGAGAGAACCTGAAACATGTACCAACCAGCCTTACATAACCAATAAGGAAAGGACCTACGCATCCCAATAATACAAACAGAAGCATACTTCAACTTAATTTTAGTATCACAATCATAAACAAGAAATTCACATGCCAAAATCACAAGGAAAGAATAATAAAGTGGAAACCCTAAACACTATGTCCCCACCAAACTCCACCTGTCCTGAAGAAGAGTTCTACAAGGAGAACCCCCTAGAGATAACTCAGGACACTGAATTTAAAAGAACAATCATAAATATGATCAAGGAATTCAACAAATTTAAAGAACACATGAAAAACAAAGACCTAAAAGAGCATAGGGATAAACTTAATGAATTCAGAAGAGAGAAAATGAAGGAAATTCAGGTAGAAGTGAAGAAGGAACTGAAAAACTCAGTAAGCCAACTTGAAACAACAGGAGAATGAATGCTAGAATGAATGAAATGGAAAACAGAATATCAATACTAGAGGATAAAGTTGAAGAATTGTACCACTCAAGCAACAATTATGAAAAGACCAAATCTACATATTATAGGAATAGAGGAAGAGAAGAATTTCAGGTTAATGGTATTTACCAGGTTCATTGTAGAAGAGAATTTCCTGAAATTAAGGAAAGACATTCCCATACAAATACAGGAAGCACATAGAACACCAAATAGACAGAATCAGAAAAGAAACACCCCACGACATATCATAGTAAAAACACTAAATGTACAGAACAAAGAATACTGAAAGCAGCAAAAGAAAAACAAGTCAGATACAAAGAAAAGCCCATCAGAATACAGATGACTTATCAATGCAAACTATGAAAGCCAGAAGAGCCTGGATCAAGGTATTTCCAGTTCTACATGACAATAGATGCCAGCCCAGAATACTTTAACCAGTAAAGATGTCTTATTATAGTTGAGGGGGAAAGAAAAATTTCCTATAACACGAATAGTCTGAGAGAATACATGTCCACAAAACCATCCCTTCAAAGAATACTTGAAGCAATACAGAGAGCAGAGAGAGAAACAACTATACCCCAGGGGCAATGGAAAAAGAAATAAAGGTATAATTGAGGAAACACAAAATTAGAAAAAACACAGCAATCAAAATGATGGCAATCAATACACACCTTTCAATAATAACCTTAAATATCAATGGACTGAACTCCCCAGTCAAAAGACACAGGCTAAGTGAATGAATTAAGAAACAAAACCCATCTATTTACTGTCTGTAAGAAACCCATCTCACATTCAAGGACAGGAACTACCTTAAGGGAAAAGGATGGAAAAGAATATTCCAAGCAAAGGCACTAAGAAACAAGCAGGGGTTGCAATTCTAACATCTGATAAAATAGACTTCAAAGGAAAACTAATCAGAAGAAATAGGAGTCTCACTTCATTCTGATCAAAGGAACAATGAACTACGAAGATATTACAATCCTGAACATATATGCATCAAAATCCGGTGCACCCAAATTCATCAAAACAACACTACAGGACTTTTAAGACACAGATTAACCTAACTGAGAAATAGTAGGGGACTTCAATACCCCACTGTCTCCATTAGACAGGTCAACTGGACAAAGAATAAACAGAAACGTCTGAATTAAATGATACCATACATCAAATGAACCTAACATATCTATTGAATATTACACCCAACCACTCAGCATCCAATGGAACTTTTTCAAAAACTGACCACATACTGGCCACAAAAACCTCAACAAATACAAAAAAAAAATGAAATAATTCCATGCATTCTATCAGACCACAATGCAATGAAGCTCAAAAACAACACTGGACAAAGCCTCAATCACTACATGAACTCATGGTGATTAAACAACACACTCCTAAACAATCTGAGTCAAAGGAGAAATTAAGAAAGAAATAAAAGAATTCCTGGAATTCAACAAATAGGACAATACAACGCAACACAACCTCTGGGACACTTTAAAAGGAGTCCTAAGAGGGAAGTTTATAGCGCTAAGTGCCTACATTAAAAAATTAGAAAGAGCCCAAATAAATGACCTAACACTGCAACTCAAGACACTGGAAAGGCAAGAACAAAGGAAAACCAAACCCAGCAGAAGAGAAGAAATAACAAAAATCAGAGCAGAAATTAATGAAATAGAAACAAAGAAAACAAGACAACTAATGAATCTAAGCGTTGGTTCTTTGAAAAGCTAATCAAGATGGACAGACCCTTAGTCCAGTTAACCAAAAGAAAGAAAGAAAATCCAAATCAATAAAATCAGAGGTGAAAGCAGAAACATTACCCAAAAGATCCAGACCATTATAAGGGAATATTTTAAAAAACCTATATGCTACTAAATTTGAAAATCTAAAATAAATGGATGGATATCTGACTGAAATTATGGGAACCACAAAAGTTAAACCAAGAAGAGATCAACAGTATAAACAGACCCATAACATATAAGGAATTCAAAACAGTAATACAAAGCCTCCTAACTAAATAAAGCCCAGGCCCGGATGGATTTACAGCAGAATTCTACCAGCTATTTAAAAAAGACCTCCAACCAATACTACTTAAATTATTCAAAATTATAGAAACAGAGGGAGAACTTCCAACTTCCTTCTATGAAGCCAGCATCACTCTAATACCCAAACCAGGTAAAGACACAACCAAAAAAGAAAACTACAGACCCATATCTTTGAACATAGATGCAAAAATTATCAACAATTGTTCAAAATACACAAGTTAATAAGCATCAATCATATAAATGGACTCAAAGACAAAAACCACATCTCAATAGATACAGAAAAGGCTTTTGACAAAATTCAGCATGCATTTATGTTCAAAGTCTTAGAGGGAACTGGACTGGAAGGAACATACCTCAACATAATTAAAGCCATATACAACAAACCCACAACCAACATTCTAAACGAGAAAGACTGAAAGCATTCCCATTAAAATCAGGAATCAGACAAGGATGTCCACTATCTCCACTCCTTTTCATCATAGTGCGTGAAACTCTGGCTAGAGCAATAAGACAAGAGAAGGAAATTAAAGAAGTACTAATCGGAAAAGAAGAGGTCAAACAATCCCTTTTTGCACATGATATGATACTATACCTAAGAGACCCCAAAAGTTCCACCAGAAAACTCCTTGAACTGATTACCACTTTCAGTATAGTGGCAGGTTATAAAATCAATCTACAAAAATCAGTAGCCTTTCTATATACCAATAACAAGCAATTGGAGAAAGAATACAGGGAAATGCTCCCATTCACAACTGCTGCAAATAAAACCAAAATAGCTTGGAATAAATCTGACCAAAGACACCAAAGATCTCTACAATGAAAATTTTAAATTGTTAAAGAAAGACTGAGGAAGACACCAGGAGATGGAAGGACCTCCCATGCTCATGGATTGAAGAATTAATATTGTGAAAATGACCATCCTACCAAAAGCAGTATACAGATTCAGTGCAAACCCAATCAAAATCCCTGTAACATACTTCACAGAATTAGAAAAAAAAAACATCATTAAATTTGTATGGAAGCACAAAAGACCATGGATACCCAAAGCAATGCTGAGCACAAAGATCAGTGCTGGGGGGATTACTATACCAGATCTCAAAGTATACTACAGAGTCATAAAAACAGCATGTACTGGCACAAAAATAGACATACAGATCAATGGAACATCATTAAAGACCCAAACCCAGGTACATGCAAGTTCAGCCACCTGATATTTGACAGAAGTGCCAATAACACACAATGGAGGAAAGACAGCATCTTCAATAAATGGTGCTGGCAAAACTGGATCTCCACCTGTAGAATAATGAAACTAGGCCCTTATCTTTCACCTTGCCCAAAAGTCAACTCCAAATGGATCAAAGATTTCAATGTGAAACTGGAAACCCTGAAACTATTAGAAGAAAATATTGGTGGTAACCTCAGGAATTAAGGTCAGCAATCAACAAGTGGGACCCCATTAAACTAAAAAGCTTCTGTACAGCAAAAGAAATAATAAAAAAGTGAAGAGAAATCTCACAGAATGGGAAAAAAACCAGTAACACATCTTCACCAGTAACACATCTGACAGAGGTTTAACATCCAGAATAAAGAACTCAAAAAACAAAGAATCAAGAAACCAAATGACCCAATTAAAAGATAGGCTAAAGATCTAAACAGAGTTCTCAGATGAAGAAATAAAGACGGCTAAGAAACATCTCAAAGTGTTCAACATCATTAGTAATTAGGGAAATGCAAATTAAAATCATCCTAATATATCACCTTACCCCAACCAAAGTGGCTGAGATCAAGAGAATAAATGATACCAAATGCTGGCAAATATGTGGAGAAAGGGGAACACTCATTCACTGCTGGTGGGATTGCAAATTCATGCAAACCCTATGGAAAACAGTGTAGAAAAAAACTAAAACTGAACCTACCATATGACCTGGTTATACCACTCCTTGGCATATACCCAAAGGGCTCATCCTATTGTAGAGACACTTGTACAACCATGTTTGTTGCTGCCCTTTCACAACAGCTAAGCTAAGAGATGGAAGTAACATAAGTGCCCCTCAACTGACGAGTGATTAACAAAAATGTGGTATATTTACACAACAGAGTTCTATTCAACAGTAAAGAAAGATGAAATAATGAAATTTGCAGGTGAATGGATAGATATAGAAACTGTTATGCCAAGTGAAGTAACACAGACTCAGAAGAATAAAAGACATATGTTCCCCTCATTTGTGAATCCTAGCACCAAATCCTTTTGTATTCCCTGTTCTTTTAGTAAGATGATGCTGTACAGCAGTCTCTTCTGTTTGAAATAACTACCGTCATCATGACTTCAGCTGTGCCTGCTTGCTAAACATCATCACAATTGGATTGCAGAGACACATGTACATCCATGTTTGTTGCTGCTCTTTTCACAATAATTAAGAGATGGAACCAACCTAAGTGCCCCTCAGCTGACGAGTGGTTAACAAAAATGTGGTATATTTACACAATGGAGTTCTATTCAGTAGTACTAAGTGAAGTATCACAGACTCAGAAAAACAAACAATATACATTCTCTCTCATATGTGGATTCTAGCACCAAATCCTTTTAAATTCCATGTTCTTTTAATACGATGATACTGTACAGCAGTCTCTAATGCATGAAATAACCACCATCTTCAGCTGAGCCTGATCACTAAACATTGTCAAAATTGGGCTTGTTGACAGTTGTGCAAATTCATTAAAGAATGGCCAAGCAGAGTCATTGGACCCTCATTGGAGTATCCAGCCACTCTTCCCAGCCAACCGTAATTTGGCCCTAATCACACATGGTCTCCTGGTTTGGGGAGGGTTAACGTATACAATCTGGGGAAGGCTAGGAAGAGAAGGCATGACCCATGGGAGGTAAAGTCTTTCCAATGTGCAATGACTCAGTTATCTCAGTAAGTAAGCTCAGTAAATTCATTGATTCCCCTCTCCTAAGGTTTGGATCCCTCCAGGAAAGATTTTGGCCTCAGGAATTTAGGCGTTGGACTGGCCTGTGAGCCCCACTAGAACCTTAAAAGGGAGTAAGCATTGCTTAGTATTCCCAGGAAAAGAATTCTCAAAATAGATGGAAATTTTATTTGTTAATGCTAGTATGTCTCATAATTATTTAAACAAACAAAAAAAAGGAAAATGAGAATGTAAAAGTTATTAAAAGGATATGGGAATGGAGGTATTTTCCAAAATAGAAAAAGGAGGAGCTGGGTTGGTCTGGATGCAAAGGATCAGAAAGAGGAAAAGTCAGCCCCTGAGTCCCAAAAAGAGGCTGGTGAGTGGTGCAGGCCCAGGGAAGCAGAGGGAGGTGAGGGTGGGGCCAGACCCAGAAGCAGTGCTCCTGGGGCCCAGAGAATGCACTAAGTTGGTCCAGATCAGGAAACAGTATTGGTTCCCCAGGTGTCTGGGGCCCCAAGACAAGGAATGGGACAAGACCCAAACTAGGAGAGACCAGTGGGGGAGATGGGAGGGTGAATGAGACTGGGGGAGTCAAGGCTTGGGGGAAGGGATGGACTTGACCTGAAGAGAGGCCTGCAGGTAGGAGAGAGCAAATTCAGAACATTTGTTTTTTTATCCAAGCTTTATTTCCATAGCACATGGTAATTAAACGGACCAGTCTGGTGAAACTAAACTATTGGATGTTTAACAGGCATACTTTGAGGCCTATACTAATCTGGTCAGAGGGACCTAAAGGGCAGTTTTTGCCTCTTGCCCTCCAAGGTTGACTAAGTTCCAGGAACTATGGAACATCTCTCAAAATGTCCTGTAACTGTGGTGAGTCACCTGTCCTCTTGTTCAGGGAGGCCATGGAAACCCCATGAGATGGACTTGAACCAGTGTCCACTCTACAAAGAGGAGGGTACAGTCAGAGAAAACATCTCATCCATGCTTCCAAGTGAAGCCAAACATCGTCGAGCAGGACCTTTGATTTATCTTCACATAGATGGAACCAGTAAAAGAAAGGAGCCATGGGCTCCTCCCAAGCCCATGTGACCCCTGAAGAACAGACCCTCAAACAACCTAAAGTATAAACATAAATTGATTTATTTGGGCCAACTGTATGGTCTTAAACACCTAAAAGCAAAGTATAAGCAAAGAGTAAAGTCATCAGTATATTTCTTTAAGAGTTCAAGGGATTACACTTCCCAGACATTAGGCTTAAGTCTATACAAAAAGTTATTTAGACAATTATTTCTCATTGATGATTTTGTTCCTAACCAGAAAGTACAGCTCAGAAGTAAGACTTCAAATCTTCGTCTGCAATACTGTAGTGCCCACTTGTAGCTTGGGGAGACAACCCGCTATTGTTCTAAAATGATGGCTGAATTTCTATTCTCCCCCTATTTAGAAGTCTTTGAGAGGAAACTGACACTGATTCTAACCACTCCAACAGCTATCAAAATACCTGAAAGCAAATCCTGAATCCATCACTCTTGAGTACAGCCTTGGCCGACAAAAGAAAAATGAGGAGGCACGCAATAGAGAGATGCTTTTGGAAGCTCTCATCAAGAAAATCCAATGAACTCGGATATGAACATTTGCAATTTTCCCTGTTCTAACTTTTTTCTGGTTTTATGTCTAGAACTTGTAATGTTAACTACTCTTGACTTTACTTCTCCTTCACATTCCCTATTCATCAGTCAAGGATTTTTCTTTTCTCCCTACAGACAAGAGTTATGCAATTTGGGAGTCTTTTAGATAGACTCACTGAAGGGGTATTCCAATTGCCTCATTCTGCAACCCTGTTCAGCATGAAAAAAGCCAGAGCAGTCTGCGTCCTGATTCCCTATTGGTAATGTGGGTAACCTCTTCAGAGGATGGTATGATGAGAATAGGATGTAGGAATTGGATAGGCAAGTTAGGGTTAAAAAGACCTCAAAGAAAAGTAGCCAGCTTCTTGGATAAAAGTCAAAATGTCCTCGGGCCTCTTAGCAACATATTCTGTTCCAAAGGCCAAAAATGACAAAAGTATTTGGAAGCTCTTATCTAATCCCTGAAAGATTTTAATATTACCCAAGGGGGAGGGAGGAAAAGAGTAGGGAAGGAAGTAGGAAAGGAGTGAGCAAGGGAGAAGGGAGGGAGGGAGGGAGGGAGGGAAGGAAGGAAGGAAGAAAGGAAGGGGAAAAAGAAAGAAAGAAAGAAAGAAAGAAAGAAAGAAAGAAAGAAAGAAAGAAAGAAAGAAAGAAAGAAAGAAAGAAAGAGGAAGGAAAGAAAGAGGGGAAGAAAGACAGGAAGGAAGGAAGGAAGAAAACAAAGTTGTCAGAAAAAAGCGATGGGGAAATAATATGGGAGGTGCTGGAGGGGAGAGCATGGCCGTGGAATTGATCAAAACACCTTATATCCATGTATGAAATTCTCATTAAGGTTTCTTTTAAAAGTTAAAAAAAGCATTCCTTCATTTGTACACACACACACACACACACATATATAATTTTTTTTTCCATTTTGAGACAGGGTCTCCCTATAGCCCCAGCTGGCCTGGAACTCACTATGTAGACCAGGCTGGCTGTGAACTCATAGAAATCCGCCTGCCTCTGTCTCCCAAGTGCTGGGATTAAAAGCATGGGCCACCATGCCCAGCTTAAATCATGTTTTTTTACTATACTATTTTACGTACTCTTAGCCTTGAATAATGCAACAGTTTTACTCTAACCAAGCATTAGTTGCCAGATGTGGTGGCACACACCTGTAATGACACTACTCAGGAGGTCAGGGTGATGACACCCCATTGCAAAAGAAAATTTTTTGATGCCTAACGAAAGGATATAGAAGGGGGGGCAACTGGTCATAGCATATGATCTACTAGAATGAAAATATTTTTATGATAAAATGCAGTACTATGTGCAATGAACACACACTAATAAAAAACTAAAATCTATGTTTGCATTTTTAAAATTGTATTTATTTTTGTGTGTACAACTGTATTGCCTATACATGTATATAAGTGGACCCGTGTCGTGAAATGCCCACAGAGGTCAGAAGAGGGCATCAGATCCCCTGGACCTGGAGTTATGGACAGTTGTTAGTTGCCATTTGGGTGCTGGGAACTGAACCTGGGTCCTCTGCAAGGGCAGCCATCTCTCTAGCCCCATATTTGCACTTTTTATTAATCTACCAAACATGTCTTTTTCTTTCTAAAGGAAAAAAAATCAATTTCTTTAATTCCAGAAGTTTCCTTTAAATATTAATGTCAAATCTTCCAAAAGTCTGTATCAGGGAGAAATAAGAGGAAAAAGTTGAGTCTGTACATATCTGTCAGTTGATGACATTTAAAAATCACTTATAAAATGATGTCAGGAATGGGAAAAAACCTTCAGCCTGACAGGATAATTACATGAGTCAATGAAGTAGTCTTCAAAATTACGAATGGCCATCTCAAATTCTCAATTGCCAAAGTCATTAAAAATTAAACATCCAAACTTACTTGAGCTCTTGCCTCTCCTTCTGACTGTTACACAGAAAGTTTCCAAACTGGCAGGAATAGATGTGCTGCTGAATGTGAATCAGAAACCTCTCATTGAACTCAAAGGCACAGGGGAACTGTTCCATTAACTGCCAGACACACTCAATGAACTGGTCAATTACTGGAGAGATTTCTTTTGGGTCACCATCTAAATTGCCATATCTATAAAACAAAGTTACAGACTTTATAACATAACGGTTCTTTAAATTGGAAAGTTATAAATCAAAGATAATCATACAAGCAACTTTAGCTCCTCAAATCTTGGGAACTTGAAATGAGGTAGAAAAATAACTTAAAACTCCAGTTTGAAGATAAATTTTGTAATCAAAGTCTGGATAGAAAAGAGAACATGTGACAGTTACAAAAGGAAATATTCACACCAGAAATAAAATGTAAGTCAGTATTTCTTCAGCAGAGTTAAAACTTACCACATCATCTATTTTCACATGACAAGAGATGCCACAGATATTTTTTTCTTTGTCTTTGAAGAACACATCAGAGTGTTTACATTCAAAGTTTTCAATGAAGACTGTCAGTGATTTGAACTATTCGGTGGTTTTTGAGAAATAATCCCAACAGGTATGAAACCCTTAATCTTCACTGTCAACTTGATTGGATTTAGAATCACCTAGGATATTCCTCTGGGAGTGTCTGTGAAGATGTTTCCAGAAGGTTAACTGAAGAGGAAAGACCTAAATGTGGGGAGCATCATCCCAGGGACTAGAGTCCTGGACTGAATAAAAGGATTCAAGTGAAGCCCCAACACTGATCTCTGCTTCCTGACTGTGGACACCATGTGACCAGCCACCTCACATCCTGCCACCACACCTTCATCTACTGTGATGGAGCCAAAATAAACTGTAAAGTTGCCTTGGTCAGGTTCTTTTGTCACAGCTCCAAGCAAATTAACTAATACTGGGTAATGTGGGTGCCACTAAAGATAAATGACAAGACAGAACCTCATCTCAACAATGGATAACTCAAGCAACAAAAAAGAGCAATATCATTCTAAGAGTTTTTGTAAAAATGAGAAACACTGAAATTAGAATCTGTAGCACCTACCACTGTACCTTTAAAAAGGGTTCTAAGCCGGGCGTGGTGGCACACGCCTTTAGTCCCAGCACTCAGGAGGCAGAGGCAGGCAGATCTCTGTGAGTTCAAGGCCAGCCTGGTCTACAAAGTGAATCCCAGGCCAGCTGGGGCTACAGGCAAACACAAAATTTAATTTAATTAAAATAAAATAAAAAGATTTCCTACTATATTTTTCCTTGTCAGACAATTATCTAGCTGGTTTTTGGCCACTTCAATATCCTGTCATCCTACCTGCTAGAGCATAGTACAATCCCCAAACTGAAAATAGCACTGTGATCTTTTTACTTAAGTCTGTGTGTGTAACATGGACAATAAGAAAGAAGGGGAATGGGAGAGGAGAGAGAGAGAGAGAGAGAGAGAGAGAGAGAGAGAGGAGAGAGATTTTCTATTTGTAAAATGGACTTGGCTGAGGGGAGGAGTAGTTCAAGCTTGAGCCCAAGAGCTCAAAGCAGTCAGTATGGGCAAGTTACTAAGCTTTTGCCTTTAAAAAAAAAAGTATGTTTTCCTGGTGAAATAATTCTAGGAAATCAGAATTATTAAATCAGAATTCTAGGAAAAGCACAGGATGACTAGTTAATGTTGATTGCAAAAAATTCACAAAAATATGGGCAGTTGCATGAATTTGGGTTTTAGCGAAGCTCACTGAAATAAAGATACATATCAAAATAACTACAAAATTATTAACATTTTAACACCAAATTACAGCTAGTACATTTAGGATTCTGAGATCGGAGAACATCAAAACTCAGGACAGGTTTATTATCAGTGTTAACACAAGGAGGCTGCAGGCTTCATAAACAGTAGCTTCTGTTGACTGATAGCCTGCTGACTAGGTGGGGCGTGTGTGTTAGACTGGTCATATGCACTCTTTAAAAATCCTGCTTGGATACCATGGAATGGGAAGGACATCCCCATACAGAAAGGAAGACAAAGGATGAAGAGAACACATGGTCAGAACATTGACAGATGCCACAACCTGGATTTGGAGTTGGATCTGGTTGGTACCAAAGCCTGGGCCACTGTCCTGTTAGCACTTCAGAGACATCACAGACAAAAAGAGAGCTCATCCTTTCCAGGTCAATGAATGAACAAGCATTTTCTGTCTCTCCTAGAACAACGTAACTTTAGTTCGACCAAATAGAGTTACCAGAGTCTGAGTATAGACCTTTCAAAACCATGGCTATTTTCTTTAGGGCACAAAACTGGATTTTAAAATATTTCTTACCTGTGATTAAATTTATGACCGAAGGAAATCCAGTCCTTTTCGATTAATACCTGCATAAGAAAGAATGTAAATATCAAAGAAGATGTGGAACTAGTAACTTTGAAGGACTTGGGTACATAGAGCAGAAGTAACTGGCAAATGACTACCACACGATCCAGAATACACCTAAGAAATGCAAAGTTGAGGGGCTGGAGAGATGGCTCAGCGGTTAAGAGTGCTGACTGCTCTTGCAGAGGATCTGGATTCAATTCCCAGCACCCACATGGCGGCTACAAACTGTCCTTAACTCCAGTTCCAGGGGAATCTGAAACCCTCTTCTGACCTCCACGGCATTGCCATGACACGCGTGCACTCACATACATGCAGGCAACACACTCATATACATAAAATCAAAATAATAAAATATTAAAAAAAAAAGGAATGCAAAGTTGAAAGTCATCCATAAGAAAGCTGAAAGCGATGTGTGAGACTGCAATAACTCCACCTGCTGTTGCTCCCTATGCACCAGTGTTCACATTGCTTCACAGGTTATCCTGTTTAACTGTGTGACAGCTGTCAGTTAGTACTCCTGTCATCTGAAGCAAAGATGAAACATTCTCCAAAGATCACACTACTTCATGCCCCAGGCCTGTCTTCCCAGCCTCACCTCTCAACCACCATGTAATGCTGCTTCTGCAAATGGAAAATCCCCACCTTTCAAGGAGAAAATGAGGAATGCTCATTTCCTATACATACATTTAAGAATTCTAAAATCAGCCTGGCGTGGAGGCACACGCCTTTAGTCCCAGCACTCAGGAGGCAGAGGCAGATGGATCTCTTTGAGTTTGAGGCCAGCCTGGTCTCCATAACAAATCCAGGCCATCTGTGGCTTCAGGGAAACCCTGTCTCAAAAAGACAAAAAAATGAATGAATGAATGAATGAATGAATGAATGAATGAGAAAGAAAGAAAGAAAGAAAGAAAGAAAGAAAGAAAGAAAGAAAGAAAGAAAGAAAGAAAGAAAGAAAGAAAGAAATTCTAAAATCATAAGGTTTAGGACTATTAGAAACTTCTGCCCTACTCCAGAATTAGAGCTACCATGAGTTTACAGTCTGATATATTATGAATTTTAAAAATGTTTAATCATGGAGGGCTGGAGAAGGTTCAGTGGTTAAGTGTACTGGCTGCACTTGCAGAAGACCTGGTTCAATTCCCAGCACCCACATGGTGGCTAACAACTGTGTATGAATCCAGTTCCACAGGATCTGACACAATCTTCTGGCCTCTGTGGGCATTTCACAACACGAGTGCTTTTACATAAAATAAATTTTTAAAAATATTTTATATGTATAAGTGTACTGCCTGTATGTAAGTGCACCCATGTTGTATAGTGCTCACGGAGGTCAGAATAAGGCATCAGGTCTCCTGGAGCTAGAATTACAGTTTGTTGTTGGCTGCCACGTAGGTGCTGGAAACCGAGCCAGTTGTCTTAGAGACGACCTAAGTTCAGTTTCCAGTACTCACACTGGGAAGCTCTCAGGCTCCAGCTCTAGGGAATCTAAGGATTCTAAGGAAACTGTACCATCTCAGCATAACTTCATCACCCCAGCAACTGCATCTCAAAGCAGTGTATCACACTGTAATCCACACCTCAAAGTTTCCAGATCTCAGAGAGGATGTGTTTCTGATTCCAGTAGAAATCAAAATACTCTGAAATTCAATACTGTCATACAGCTGTGTGAAGGAGCATTTAAAAACAACCATATGAGTGAATGCAGATTTTCTTACCAATAATTATCTGCAGCAGGAAAGTTTTTAAAAATTATTTATTTAATAACCACATGATTACAAGAAGCATTTCATTACACCATTAACATATTCAATAACAATTTCCAGAGCAAAGATGCATGTCTTTCAAAACTGGCTGTAAATTTTCAGGTTCACAGCTGGATTAATACAGTTATACAATATTGAACTCAGTATGAACCCTGTAAGACATAAAATTGAATGAGGTTTTAACATTTAAAAAGCTTATCCATTTCATTTTAAAATATACTGTTTCATACAGGAAAAACTCATTCTTTGCACATGCATCTCTAATCTCTACGTATCTGATTATTACTAGTCACACTGGTTACTTTCTGAGATCCACCTGAGGATGGATATAAAATCATCAGGTAGATTTCAGTGATAACGTGTTTCACCTCTACGAATTAACATGGAGCAAATGTTTATGCTTCTTCCTCTACGAATTAACATGGAGCAAATGTTTATGCTTCTTCCTCAAACATAACTTATTTTTAAAATTTGTTGATTTTCTGTGTATATTTCATACAGAACACCCCAAACAGTCTTATTCATCTATATTCCCACATCCCAAATGGCACCCTCCCATAGTCTCCCCCCACCTGCACTGGAGCCGATATACTCTGTAATTGCTGTTACTGTCCACTGTGTTGTAGGCACCCCCAGCCATTCTCCAGTGCTTCTCCATCCATTGTATCTATTCAGCCTATCTAGAGTTCCTTGTTTTAGGAAAATCAGCTCTTCCTCATCTAGCAGCAGTCAGTAGCCAATATCCTTTAGATAAGACTGCGGTCTGCAGTTCATTTTCCCAGTTCTATGCTGGGTTACTGTTTGGGAGTCTCTTGGGCCACCCTGGCCAACAACTCAAAGGAACGTATCTCCTGTCTTGCATTGTTTCTTGTTATGTAGCTTTTAGCTATACACATGGATTCTTAAAGAATTATATCGATCCCTTTCATCTTTGGCTATACTTTCCTTTTGGGTGTTATAAAACCATGCAGTTGGCCCAGAAAAACCCATTTGTTTTTACTCTTAAGGTCGTTTGAGGATCTGTTCCTCAGGGATGATATGGGCTTGGGAGGAGCCCCTGGCTCCTTTCTTTTACCAGCTCCATCTATGTGATTATAAGTCAAAGGTCCTACTGAACCATGGCTGGCTTCACTTGGAAGCATGAAGGAAATGTTTCCTCTGTGTTGATCCTCCTCTTTGTAGACTGGCCTCTGATTCAAGTCCATTTGGTGGGGCTTCCATGGCCTCCATGATCAAGAGGACAGGTGACATACCACACTTGCAGGACATTTTGAGAGATGCTCATAGTCCCCTGGAGCTTAGTCGACCTAGGAAGGCAAGGAGCAAAAACTGTCCTTCCTTATGCCCCTCTGACCAAATTAGTATAGGCCTCAAAGTATGGCTGTTAGACATCCAAGAAGGTTAGTTCCATGAGTCTGATACTTTCAATTACTATATGCTATGTAGATAAAGCTTGGGCAAAGACCAAACATTCTCAGATAAACCTTGCCTAGACATATATTCCTTGAGCTAGTTGTACGTATAATTTGTCAGTTGTTAGTTTGATTAATACAGTTCCCTCTGGTATTTTAAAACTAGCTAGGCATTGTCTCTCGCATTGTCTAATGCTTCCACCATGGTTTCCCCATTTAAAGTGCCCCCATTTTCCCTATTCTCCCTTAATAATAACCTTCTATGTCCCACCTCTCTTGAGCTCCTTTCCCTTTATCCTCTAGTTTCCTTGTACAACCCTCCCTCCCTTTTCCCCCTAAAATAACCACATTTTTATCCATATCTCCCTTATTAATGGCTGTTTCCTACTGCAGTTCTCTTTCAGATTCTTTCTTTTCCTTTACCTCCCTAGTTCCTTTTCATTATCCTGGTTCCTCTAGTCATGTCTGGATACATACTTACTTATACGGATTTGGTGCTAGGATCCACATATGGGGGAGAATATATGTCGTTTCATTTTGTTGTTTTTTTTTCTGAGTCTGTGTTACTTCACTTAGTAAAACAGTTTCTAGTTCCATCCATTTACCTACCAATTTCATGATTTCATCTTTCTTTACTGCTGAGTAAAATTCCATCGTATAAATGAACCACATTTTCATTATCCATTCATCAGCTGAGGGAGACTTAGGTTGCTTCCCTCTCTTAGCTATTGTGAAAAGACCAGCAACAAACATGGATGTACAAGTGTCTCTGCAATAGTATTAATTCTTTGGGTATATGCCAAGGAGTGGTATAACTGGGTCAAATCGTAGGTTCATTTGTAGTTTTTTAAGTTCTGCACACTGCTTTCCATAGGGATTGAACAAGGTTGCAGCCCCACCAGCAGTGGATGAGTGTTCCCCTTTCCCCACATCCTCTCCAACATTTGGTATCATTTGTTTTTTTGATCTTAGCCAGCCTGACTGGGGTAAGGTGAAATCTTAAAGTGGTTTTAATTTGCATTTCCCTAATTACTAATGATATTGAACACTTTTTAAGATGCTTCTTAGCCATCTTTATTTCTTCCTTTGAGAACTCTCTGTTCAGTTCCTTAGCCCATCTTTTAATTGGGTTATTTCCTTTCTTGATTCTTTTTTGTTGGTTATATATTCTGAATGTTAAACCTCTATCAGATGTGTCGCTGGTGAAGACTGTCTCCCACTGTGGGTTTTCTCTTCACTTCCTTGGTTGCTATTTTTGATATACAGAAGTTTTTTAGTTTAATGAGGTCCCATTTCTTGATTCTTGACCTTGTTTCCTGAGGAATTGATGTCCGGTTTAGAAAATATCTTGTAGGTTATTCCCAATGTTTTCTTCTAACAGGTACAGGGTTTCAGGCTTCACATTGAAGTCTTTGATTCATTTGGAGTTGACTTTTGTGCAAAGTGAAAGACAGGGGATTAGTTTCTTCTACAGGTGATCAAGTTTTGCCAGCACCATTTGCTGAACATGCTGTCTTTCCTCCAGCAAATATTCTTGGCCACTTTAAATTGCATGTACTTGTATTTGGGTCTTCAATTTTGTTCCATTGACCTACAGGTCTATTTTGTGCCACTATCATGTTGTTTTTATGACTATAGCTCTGTAATACAGTTTAATTTCTGGCATAGTAATACCCCCAGCATTGCTCTTAGTGCTCAGTGTTGCTTTGGCTATTTGAGGTCTTCTGTGCTTCCATATGAATCTTAGGATGGTTTTTTCCAAGCTGTGAAGAATGTCATAGGGATTTTGATTGGCACTGCATTGAATCTATAAATGGCTTTTGG